TAGAAGTTAAATTAAAAGATAGCTGGAAAAAAACAAAGGGAAGAAATAGACAAAAGAAAATTTAAAAGGCTGATAAGAAAAAAACAAAACTAAAAAACAACTAAACAAATTAATACAAACTCCTTAACAATGAGATGTGACCAAGCTTTGGTGTTTGTCTTTTACTTGTGTTTATAAATATACATCTGAACAGCTATAAAGTTATTCTGTGTCCATTTAGCTTGCTTTTATCAGGTATCAAAACCATTTGGGAAGTTTAGATGATGGATGAACACTTCGTGGGGCGGCTGTGGCGGAGTGGTTAGGGGAGTCGTCCTGGAACCAGAAGGTCACTGGTTCGATCCCCCGTCCAGCCGTCTCAGTCGTTGTGTCCTTGGGCAAGACACTTCATCCACCCTCTGACCACCATCAGTAGGCAATACTGATGGTGGTCAGAGGGTCCGGTGGCGCCGATGCATGGCAGCCCCACCTCTGTCAGTGCACCCCAGGGCAGCTGTGGCTACAGTGTAGTTTGCCATCATCAGTGTGTGAATGTGAGTGTGAATGGGTGAATGTCTATTAGTGTAAAGCGCTTTGGGGGTCCGGAGGGACTTGAAAAGCGCTCTATAAGTTCAGTACCATTTACCATTCGTCCAAGTAACACATGAAAATGCCAGAATAGTCTCCTCCATCAACACACGTTAGGTAACACCCTAACATCAGTTATTCATGCCCGCGGCTTTTCTGTGTTGTGCCACATAGGGGTCTTTGAGCTGGGGGGTCTGTGGTTAATATGAGGGATCAGGATTAATGGTTAATTTTAGGTACTAAGGTCAGGGATAGCTAGGGTTAATAGAAGTTCAATTTAGGGTCTGGGACAGTTGTCGCACATTCTCTACACTTTCAAAAATGGTTACAATGAGGGATCAGGGTTAATGGTTAGTTTTAGGTACTGAGGTCAGGGATAGGATGTCTAGGGCTAATAGAAATTCAATTTAGGGTCTGGGATGATTAGTTGTTGTGCATTTCCTATTCTTTTCAAAAAATGGCAACGCGCTCTTCCTGCTCTGTCTCGTCTTATTAATAACTGACGCAAGGGGGGTCCAAAACTGGACGCAGTCAGTACCTGACCAAGCGTCAGTATGTGACGAGTTGGGAGTGAGAATGGGTTGGTTTGGCAGGGGCTTAGCAGTACATTAAGAACAATTATGTTTTAAATGGTAGCCTACTGTATATATAACTACTGGTACTTTAATTCAGGACACAAAGAGGAACATGTCCGGGCTTTAATTTAAAAGGTTTAATTCTGAAACATGCAACCAAGGAGGCAAAAGTGATATTAAACAGGATAAACTGAGTGGAACTTCTTCAAAATTGGACACATTTTTACTCAACAAATGACATAAAATTTATGAAAGCAAGTGCACGTGTTACAGGTTATTACAAAGCGGGTTAAATGATCAACCCTGCTGCTGATTTTTCTTCTTTCTGTTGCACTCAACACTCTTTGGCTGCCAATAACGTTTCTGTTTTGAGTCAACACGGGCCAAATTCTGCTAGTAAAAATCAGCAATCGCTGAAACAAATCATGATGGTTCTGACTTGGTGGGAGAGTAAAATATTACTGTTCTGATCAGYGGTTAAGCCACATACACCTTCCATGGGAAAGGGCCCCCTATGCAACTCAGCATGGTTCCTGACTGAAAATCACTCACTGTGGCCAAGCTGTCACACAATCAGCAGTTTAAGGTCACCTGCTGATGGCTAACAAGCCATGGAGTGTGGAATGGCACAAACATGCTTGCTTTTAGTTTTGATTTGATTTGTGTATGTTAGCTGGTGATCAATGTGTATAAGCAATACACATGTAGAGGGTGGGGGGCTTCTTCAAAGATTTAATGTCTACATAATTTGAGCGATAAAAGGAAGTAAAGCAACAAATAGACATTAGGACGTGGGTATGCAAAATAAACATTGATGACAATTTACAGTACAACACCCTTGCTGTTTGAGGCAAATACATCAGTGAAAATAACATTTGCTGCATAAATTATGTCCTACTTCCTCCTCATTCAAGTCAAACACCAGTAATAAAGGATATCAGCACARAATAATCTGTTAACGATTAAATGAGTACAGGGCTTCAGCAAAGGAAGTCCCAATGGAAAGGCCCAATCAGCATGTTTTCAAGAAGTCACCATGTTARTGTTAAAACTAAATGGACAATCATGACTTCATTAAATACTGTCAACTAAAAACAARGGCTTTAATTAAAACACTGACTACTGGGAAAGAATGAATGGTTAAACTGTTATCTTGCTTCTGAATTAAGGAGCCAGTTTATTACTTCCAAATTATCCGTTGAATGGTTGTTTATTTTAAACAGGTCATACAGTATAACCCYGTGATCAAATTCTGGGATTTTCTGAAAATAACAATCCAACCTTTACACCCACTTCAATGAGTCAGGCTGAGCAGAGCTGCAGGTAAACACTTGTTTACATTCAGTCTTTTAAACTTATAGCTTTTTTAGAGTTGTTTCTTTCGTGGTATTTTTCATTTGAAGAGGCTAAAAATCCTTCCTGTATAAAATATGTGCTATTCAATAAGGATACGCCCTCTTCTCATCTTTAGGGTTTGCATTTTGTTGTGCCTTTGAATAAACACATTCAGAACTATGGGATTGTTTTTATTATTATTATTATTATTATTATTATTATTATTATTTGGGGGCAGGGTTGAGCCAAGATCTTTTTCGGGCAAATTTACTTTGCGCATGAAGTCTATCTGCATGTCACTAGCTGTGTTTCCATTGCAAATGTGCACAAAACTTTGTCAATATTCTGTTAATATTGAAAAAACAGTTTCGCAATTGCAGTGTTTCCATTAAGTAAGAAATTCTATTAAAGTCACACATGAATATGCTTGTTCTCGAGATAAGTCATTACAAACATGGCGGCAATGGATGTAAAAACATAGCATATTGCTACCACGACACTAGCGCTCATCATCAGCCATCAGAGGAGACATCGRCTTCTTATCGAGGCTTTCGAGTGACAAGCCCCTTAAACCTGGGAGTGGCTACGTATGCTGTGTTTTTGGGAAATTGTATTCGGTGAGTTTACTACTTTCTTTTACTACTTCGGTGATTTCACTACTGCTTTTACTTCCTGTTATCTTCTTCGTCGTCGTCGTCTTTTTCGCCAGTAGAAACATCCAGTTCTTGATCACGTGACTCCCGTGATGCGAAAAAAGTGTTTCCGTTGCAGTTTTGCGAAATACACCAATTTCGATAAGGCCGAAAAACCACCTCTTCCTAGAACAAAAATATTTAGCCAAAAAACATAATTTTTTTCCGAAATTGACAAGTTTCCATTGAGCAAATTTATTTTCTAATTTCTAATTTGCGCATTTTCATGGTCAATGGAAACACAGCTACAGAAGGAGTAGGAAAACTGGAGTTTTTCTTTTTTTCAGTCAATATAAGCAGTGAAATCACCATCCGCCACCAGTTGTTGAGAAAGTTGCTGCAACAACACTAGCTTGCGCTGCCCTGTAGCTTTGAGTGTTGAGTCCCTCTTGAAACAGTTCTCCTGTGGGTGCAACGTAACGTTCCGAACGTATTCAGGCTTTTTAAACCGGTATGATGGTACTCAGAAAATTCATATAATGATGAAAATAAAAACCGGTTTTCAGTACGAACCAATATACTAAATGGGAACTGATTCATGGTCTATTTCTGTATGGTACTATAACCATCTGGTTACTACTGATCCAGCTAAAATGTTTCTATTAGGTGGGCAATTACTAGTATACGAATATAGGAAACATGTGAAAGCAAGTTCAACATGAGTACCTAAAGTTTATGGTATTTGCCATTGGTATTTGTCATGTAAAAAAATTAATTAATAGTAAAAAAACACATTTATAGTTTTCTATGTGAGCCCACACATTGTCAGCATGTCAGCATCCCAGTGTCTGTCAGTGTGTTGCATTATACAGATTTATCCTGGTTTCACTCTGCTCTCCTCTTGTTTCTTCAGCTTCATAAAGGATTCAGCCACTGTGGTGTAGCCATCAAATGATGCAATGTAGCTGGTAAGAGTTAAAACCATATGCTAACTTTTTCCCCAGAAATTACTTTAAAACTAGCAACTGCAAAATTTTTACCATGACATATGTACAGAAAAAAAAAAAAAAACAGCGTATAGAAAACCGAGCTTTTCAATTTTATACCTTTGTTTCGGCAGCACACCAATTTTGTTCCTACTTTTGTATATATTTTCCTTCAGAACTGAGCTGGAATAAAGAATATATGTATATATTCTTGGTCTATTGGCTGTCGCAGCTAATGAGGTACAAACAGACCTTCAACTGAGAGCACAAGAGTAGCAAGAATCTAACGAAAAAAAAACTAAAAGCCCCAAATGAATATCACCTTTAAAAATCTATTTGAAACGTTTTTGCAAAAGCATTCCAAACTATGAAAATACAACATGGTAAGTTTGAAAAGCTTTACTTTAAAGTTCTATTTCTGTTTTCTTTAGTGGGCAAGAAGTCACACAAGTGCCATGTCACAAAAAAACAGTCAAAGAATAAAAAGTTCAATGCATGTAAAGTTTGCGGAGAAGTTGCGCACTTTGAAATATTTAAGAGAAAAAACACACACACTTCTGAGGCTTTAGCCCCAATTAAAACAACCTAAACCAATTTAGAAGATCGGAGTGAAACTCCTATGTCTGAGTTTTTTTTATCTAAGATGTCTGCTCTCTGAACAAATATAAAAACCGAAGATGAATCTAGTTGTTAATTAGGCCTACTTTAAAGAAATCTCCAAGACTCTCTGTAATATTTATTCATGTGTAGCAGTGAGGTGGAAGGAGTTCAACTGGTTGTTCGCTTCATAAATTCTGTGTCAAAACTTGAGGTGCATTGAAGTGAAAATGTGAGGATCGTATGTGTGTGTGTGTGTGTGTGTGTGTGTGTGTGTGTGTGTGTGTG